ATTAATTAAAATTAAATTAAGATTAATTCAATTAATTAATGAATTAATTAAAATTAAATTAAAATTAAAATTATTTTTATTAAATTTTAGTTTTAAAAATGAAAACCATTAAAATGTAGAAACAAAAGAAAATTTTAAAATGTTGAGAGACAACTTCAGTTTATCAGCACAAATATACAACCCAGCAGTTAATAATAACCCTGATATGAGGAATATGAATAGCTTAACAGGCCCAGGGCTGGGGTAGGGGGGACATGAAGAAGGCATACAGATCTTTCTGTCTGGTTGACTTTTCCACAGCTTAATCAATTAAATCTTCACTAACCAGAATTATTTTCTTTGCTAGCAACATTTATATTAAGAATTTTACCAATAAAGTATAACCACTAGCCAAGCACCTACAGGAAACACACTTGCTTTACCTACCATTATAAATGTTCTGCAACACTTCTTCTGCTCTAAGGTCATCAAAGCATTTCACTTCAAATCCAAGTTCAGTCAAGCTATTTTAAACAGAACAATATTTCACTCTAGAATCATGTTCATGTATGATACGAGTACTTCAGAAAAAAGAAGAATCTACCCTTTCAGTCCACAGAATTCAGACTGGATTTCAAAATTAAAATATAAATGTAACTAAAATCCATGTAACCATACTAATAACAGATACAATACTTATCCGTAATATTCTATCTGTAACCTTAAAAAACACAAAAACACAAAACTTTTCGTGTAATGTCTTTACTGCTTGACATTAGTTAATACCGTTAGCATTAGACAAATATCTTTAGAAAAGGATTCTACAAGTAGTTTCTTTCACTGCCTTATCCACCTGCCTTATCTCAGCCTGTGAGGTCATAAACATTTGGCCAGGAATAAAGACATGTGATCTTTCAGATAATCTGTGCCCAGATCATTTAGATATTTATAAATTATACAATGAATACTGAATAGCACAGCTAATCATGGTAACTCTTCACATTGTTCTAACATAAATAGCTTACATATAGATATTTAGCATCAGCATATGATACTGTAGATCAGTGATATGTTTGAGGAAGCCCTGAGATCCCTTCACTGTTTTCTAGTAACACTACATTCCAAAAACCATTCTTTATCATAAAGACATATTGTTTCTGCCCCATTCTCCCTCCCATGCCCCATGATCCCTGGAATGTGAAGCCACAGAAAGGCAAGTTGGGTGTATTCCATGGGCCATTTTCAATTTCTGTAATATAGTCTTATAAGCCTGGGTAGGATTCCAAGTAAAAAAAGCACAGCCAGTTTGTGTCAGACATGTGAGCATGGGGCTGATTCTGCAGATGAAAACTTTGAACCAAACCCTAACCTGACACAAAAAGAAATATGCTTCCAAATAAGGCTTTCTGAACAAAAGATTCATCATGAGTAGAAGAACTGAACTGAGCTCAAAGTTGTTCCATTTTTGGTTTCTCCAAACATTCTTCATTTACCTGAAAACCTTCCCCCACACTGTGAATGAATGAATGAAAGGGTTGTCTATAACTGCAGAGGTTATAGTAAAGCAGTATTTCTTAATGGTGATAACTTTAAAATGGGTGGATTTCAACTCCCAGAATTCTTCTGATAGCATGCTGGCTGGGGAATTCTGGGTGTGGAAGCCCACACATTTTAAAGTTACCATAGTTGAGAAACGTTGTAGTAAAGGATACAGATGAGGCTTTTCTGTCTGATCTTGCTTTGTGGAGAATGCCAGCTTAAATTTAGGATTGCCTTTCATTTGGGTAAATATAATTGAAGCAATAGGAGTTACTTTGTTGGTCATTGAAGGAATGGAACTTAATTTATTGAATAACTGAGAGTCAGAAATCTACTGCAAATCAGCCAAAAAAACTGCCATTAGATCCTCATCTATATTAAAGTCACTTCTGTTGCAGAACATTCAAAATGCTTTACCTATATCCTGGGGATCTCAGCACTCATGGAGTACCATTTCCTTTGACACTTCTATTTTTATAAAAACGCAAGTACTTTTTGAAATGTCATTGGATTTTTCTTCCTTCAGTGTAAAAGAAAACGCAATGAAGAACAAAGATTCCTTCACCTGCGTTTCAGATTATCTCGGTCAGCAAGGGTGCCACGTCTGTCTGGTAACTTTAAGTGCCAGAAAAACCTCTCATGATTGAAGATCAAAGCAAGTCCTCTTCTCTTGTGGTTCATTTTGTATTCCACAGATGGATCGAAGAGCTGGCTGATCCTACAAAAATAATGTATCTCAGTTAACAAACTCAGGTCTTTCTCATTCATATAAACACATCTGTATGTTTAAACAAGTCAGTGACTAGGATTCAAAGAACTGTACAGTTAGTATAAATCTTACTAAAAAGTCTTAAATAATTTGATTTGATTTACATGAAGGATATCCTTTACCATTACTGTCTGTACCTACCTCTATAGTACATGCATACCCATCATACTATTCCCATTTAGGATAAGCAGCATTATACAGAATACAAAAAGGCATAAGAAATATTAAGCCAAAGAAATTAAAGACATAAGAGAAGAAAATAAAAAATACTACAGCTAAAACTAGGTTACATCAGCACCATTCACTATACCTTTCCATACCTTTCTATCCTTGGGAACCATCCTTGCTTCCACCATGCTCATACACTGTTTCACATATAGCCTTTTGCTCATTAAACTTCCCAACTGCCTCTTTTTCAGGATCTGGTTTCTTAGTCTTCCTCTTCATGACTTCCTTCATATATTTGTTTTGTGATTTGATTCTGGTTCATTCTCTCCATGAGATCAAATAATCACAATGTACTTTCATAAGGCTCGCTCATTTTGTACTCTGTCCACATTCATTCACCACCCATATTTTCTTGACCCTACCTTCTCTTCCATCACACACATTTTAAGGACTCCATTTCCACCGCATTCAACTTACTCTCCCAACATGAGAAAGTAGGCAGAAATATGCCTTTAAACGCAACCATTTTTACCTCTTCCAACAAACATTAATGCCTTGCCACTGACTACATACCATCCACTTTCTACTATTTCTATCTGCAAATATCTTCATCTTTTCTCCAACTTCAACAAACATATGATACACAAATTCAACTATTCACTCTAGTTTTTCACCATTAACTTTCAATTCCATACCCCTTTAGTTTTTGTACAGAGGAAAAATGACAGCATTCTTTCCAATACATATGAATTTGTCACATAGACATTAAACAAGTCACACAGACACTCCATTTTATTTTATTTTTACCTCCTATCCTGCTTTTCTTTCAAGAGCTCAAGGGAGCATACATTGGATTTCCCATCATGTTATCCCACAACAACCACCATGAAAGCTAGGCTGGGATGAGCGAGTGTCTAGCCTAAAGTCATCCACCGAGTTTCCATGGTTAAGGGTAGATTTGAATGTTGGTCTCTGTGATCCTGGTCCAATACCTTAACCAGTATCTCATATTGTCTCCTTCCCCGTCCTTACTTGGAAACATTATGGTCTTCTGAAGACTTACCTGGTTTTTTATCATTATTTTTATTGAATTATGTGCAATTTCAATTTTCTCTGGGTTGTTCATTGCTCACTGGTATTTATTGGTTTATTCTTCTGTTGTATTTAATATGTAAACCACACTACAAGGATCCTAGCCTTAAAGTGTCTTAAAACAGCAAAACGATTAGTGCTTATGTCCAATGAAAAAAAGGTGTAACACCTATGGATAACTGTAATTTTAAAATAAATTTGATTTGGTTACAAAATCAATTATCTAACTGTTCAACTGCTCCTAAAATAGTTATGTTTTCATTGTAAGCTTCTTGGAGTACAGCCATACAAGATCCAACAAATAACTGTAATGGTTATAAGAAAAAACATGAACTGCAAAAAAACCTGACTCAGAAAAGATTACCTTTCACCAATGGCATCTGTTTCAGTGAAGTTTCGCTGCTCATCTGTAACTAGAAAATAATTCAAACATAAATAAATCAAAATAATTTAATTCTATATACTTAAAAATGTGCAAGTATAGGTGATGATTACTTTTATCTTATTTTTGAAATATACTTTAAAGAGCCTGCTTTCAGTGCAAAAGCATATTTTCTTAGGTGAAAATATTTTAAGGAAATCCATAAAATAAGGAACATAAGTGATTAAAACATAAGAAAAGACACAAATTAAGAGATGATGTGCTTATTTTTCTTTAAAGCAAGCAATCTAGTTTTACATAGTGAGGAACAAAAGTTGCAGTCCTTCCACAATTCCAAAATCCACCCAACTGACCCAATTAATCCACAGAAACTACACTGGACCCCAAATAGCCTTGTCTGAGATTAAACTAATCACCCTTCTAGTCCACTAATTCCTGTATGGTATGTTAACTTCTTTGAATGTTAACAATCCCTCCCAATGTCAATTATTAAAGCAAAGGCAGAGAAAGAGGTCCTGCAAAAAAAGAGACCCATAGAGGCCTATCTCTCCTGCCTTTTGATTTTTATTTTCCCACAATCACATGGGAGGTAAAAAAGGGGCAGAAATGGGACACTTATAAGCATGCCCCCACAATTCTGGCTGTGGTGGTGCCAACCAAAATTGTGCCAATGTGGACTTTTAATTATTTGAAAGCAGAAATTTGGGAGAGAAGTAACAGCTTACCAAGTCTCTCTTGTAGCATCTGGGAGGGCCAAAAACATGGCCAATGGTCAACCAATCCAGTCTTCCCAGATGCTAACCTTTGTATGCTGCTGCACCACTTCAGTTAGTAAATTCAGAGAATCACTGAGATGACCATGTAATGTAAACATAAACATTCCACATATTCTTGGGAGGGTTTCAACCTCTTGCTTTTGCTTCCCTATTATGTTGCCATTTAGAAAAGTTTAAGTGTCAATTATATTTTGAAAAAAAATGCTGGGTACCTTACCCTTGCATGGTAATATGTTCTTGTTGTCCACATGGATTTCTTCTACAGTAGAAAGCAACACAATGAATATCTCTCTTACAAACCATGTTCAAGACCAATTGCAAAAGAAAAAAAGATCAGGATTCAAGCCAATATTCACAGTAATACACATATTTCATTACTGAATCATATTGCAACATACTACAATAATCAGCAAACAAGTTTTTAAATACAAGTTAATCATTTAAAGCCTGAACTTTTTCTTCAAAGGTTTTTACAGAGTCCTAAATGTTTTTAAGAAGATTGACAAGGAAAAAAAGCAGGACTGCTGCTTTTATACATTCTTCCACATTACTGGGTTTATTATTTTATTCCTAATTGTGAACACAAATCACAGTATTTCAGATCAGAACTAAAAACCTGTGGCAAGTTACAGTAAATCATTAGTATAACAATGACCTCCTACCTATTTTAGCAGTTACTGCTGGGGTTTTTTTTCTATTCCTTTTTTTTTCCTTTTCATTCCTCCGAGTCAGTGTTGATTCCTGGCAACTGCTGGACTAGTCCCTGCAGTTTTCTTGACAAGGTTTTTCAGAAGTGGTTTGCCGTTACCTCCTTCCTAGGGCTGAGAGAAAGTGACTGGCCCAAGGTCACCCAGCTGCTTTGTGCCTAAGGCAGGAATAGAACTCAGGGTCTCCTGGTTTCTAGCCTGATGCCTTAACCACTACACCAAACTGGCTGTCTTAAATTATTGTAATATGTGTTGTAAATGTATTGTTCTAAATCTTATATTGTTGTAAATCTTGACAATTATATTGTTTTGATACAATGATATTCATGCAATATTAATTAAAATTATTGGCATTCTATTATTTACCTAATTTTGAATATTGAAATAAAGAAAAGAGAAAGATTCTATCAATATTAATTACAATTTAGGATGTTGATATTACAAGCATAACATTATTTGACTTTTCCATTCAAAGTTAAGTGTAAAATTAGGAAAAAAAAAGAAACTGCTTAGATTGCATCAAAGTATTTGTTATACAATAAAAGTTTAGATCTTGAGCTGATTACTTCAGTGTTAAAATCTCCGTTTTGTAGTTGCAATACAAATTTAACAAAAGTATCAAAAATAATTTTAAAAAGAAAAAAAGAAAAAGAACTATTGGGTTTCTTACTTTCCCTTTTTGTACAACTGCTAAATTACAATATTGTAAACATTTAAGCCCCCTTAGAAGCCGAGGTGAGTGAGTGTGATTATATTTGTCACACTGCATGATGTATTCTATGTGTAGGAACCATTCTTTCTTAAATTTGGTTAAATTTCTATTGTGTATATATATATACTGCTATTTTGCCATTGTTGCATATTCTCCAAGTTTAAGTTTCCAATCAGATATTGTCAGAATTGTATCTTTTTTCCAGGGTTGAGCAAAGTTTATTCCTGCTGCTGTAAACTTGTATCTCATTAAATTATATTCCTTGTTGATTTTTTTCTGAGATTATACCTAATTAAAAAAAAAGTTGTGGTTTCATTTCAAATTTAAATTCCAAAATTTCTGCATTGTACTATGTATATCTTTCCAGTACTTTTGGATTTTTTTTACATGTCCACCACATGTGATAAAATATTCCTTCTGTTTCATGGCATTTCCAACATTTATTAATCTATGATTTGTCTATCTTAGATAGTATTGATGGAGTTGTATATCATCCGTAGAATGTTTTGAACCAATTTTCCTTTAAGTAGTAACTTGGTGTAAATGAGCATTTACTGCCTTTTGTTACCTGGCACAACATTTTTAATTATTCCCATCTCTATCCCTACGAAGACAGCCAAACTGTTTCACTTCCTATTTTCAACCAACAAGAAGGTAGCAGCAGTTTTGATATTAACAGCTAGACTCTGTTTCCAGATACAGTATGAGGATCAACCATTATAATTTTCCTATAACCTAATGCCAAATTTGCATCTATCTTGCCAGTTCTGAAAACAAGTAAGATAACTCTGTGCCAAAATACGAGTTACATGTTTTCCAAAGTTTCTTTGCCCTGAAAAAGAAACTTGCACTTTTCTGTTATTTCCAGGGCACTTGAGAATTTCCTTAAAATTTCTCTTGGTGTCTTTGAGCTGCTTTTTTTGCTAGAGTTGCCAATGCAGTGGTAGTGTTTCTTTACACATTTTCTAAAAATCATTCTGCTGCCTCCCTGGCTGCCTACATTTCCCAAGCTGGAAAAAAAATAGCTCACTGTTGGAGGAATTCATGCATCTCATTTTTACCTTATCTTTGTCTTTCAGAAATAATGGAAACACAAGAAGCCAGGGGGGCTGCAGATTGCTGTAATGTTGGTTGTGCAGTTAAAGACAGAACACTCACACTGACCCTTCAGTCATCCTCTAACTAAATAAGTACAAGAACTTCATACTTCACTCGCAGAAATTCTCTTCAAGTTTGAAAGAAATTTCAAAAGCAAATTCTTGTTCATAAAGGAAATGAAGAATGAATGAGCAAGAGGCATTTTGATATAGTGCTAAAATAAGGAACAAGTATGCCCTGAATGAAAAAGGCTGCCAAGCCCCTAACATAGCCCACCACCAAGAAAGCTGGATTCTCACGAAGTATTGTCAATAATAGTTCTTGCAAGGAAAAAGTATTAGATTACAAAATCTTGGATGTGTGTACCGTAGCCCTTATTTATCAGATGTAAACAACCTTACAACCCTTACAACCAAGAAAAGTAGATTTGCATGTACAGCAAATCAACACAGGTTCCTTGCCCACGATGAGGATGACCCACTAACTGTTTTCAGAGGACATTTCCACATTCAACTGCTCCTAACCAATTGTTCATCCACAGATGAAGCAGCTCAAGGATGGCTTTAGGTGATCTGCTCTAGTAGTGGAATTTCCGTCTTATCTCACCTCCAAATTCTGCACACAGACAATGTAGAATGTACTGTTGCACATGGGAGAACTAACCTGAAAAAACTCCATGCCAAACTTGTGGCTCTAACTGGTTCTGCTTATTTTCTGTGGGACCACCTGCTTCCATTCAGTCCCTGACCTGTTTTCCTCCTTTGGCTGTGAGGGAAACTGGAACTGGCTTCCTACGCCACTCTTTTTCTTCACTAAATGGGAGGTTCAGTTGGCCCACCCAGAGAATTTAAAGCTCTGAAACTGACTAGCCTTCTGCATCTCTGGCTTAAACTGTGTAACTGAAAAGACTAATCTCTTGTAGCCTCCTGGAGCCCTTTCTCTTCTCATGTAATATAAGTAGTCCTCCCTTAATGACAGTAATTGGGATCCCCAACTCTGTTGCTAAGCAACGCAGTCATAAAGCTCAATGCTATGTGACTGCACTGACTTACTATGGCAGTTGCAGCAGTTCTGGTTGCCATCTGGTTGAATCCTGCGTGATTGTTAGGTGCGACATCACATGATCGCCATTTGCAACCTCCTGCTGGCATCCCCACTGGCTTTGTCTGTCAGAATCTGGCAGAGAAGGTCACAAATGGCAATCACCATCATAACTGTGAGCCAGTTGCCAAGCACCTGAATCTCAATCATGATTGTGGAGACACTGCAATAGCCACAACTATGAGGACTGGTTGCAAGTCTCTTCATTCAGCACCATTGTAACTTTGAATGGTCGCTGAACAAGAGGTTGTTAAATGAGGACTACCTGTGTTCCTATCTTCCAGAACAATCTCTGCAGCTAAATCTCTTTCTCAAACTCTAATTTATCCAATGGCTTGCACAAATCTGAACAACTACTAGAGAGCAGCCAAGAGATACAAAAAAAACCACTAAGCCTTTCCTGCCATATAGAAGGCAATAGGTCAAACAGTCGACTGGTTGACCCATAGTTAGAAGTTTGTTTTTAAGTTCAATTGGTTGATGGTATGGCAGAAAAAAAAAATGGCAGTCCATGGAGTTATCAGAGTGTTAAGCATGGCAACTGGAAGAGGTTGTTTACATGGTGGATGTTGGGTGGGGCTGAAATTTCAGCTGAGGGAACCACCAATCACAACCTTAGAAAGTTGCACGTGACAGCTGTATGGACAGTAGCACAGCCCTGTTTCTGGAGCACAATAAGGGTCCACTGTGGAGGCAGCATGATTTAGGGCAGTATAATTCCTGCTGACTCAAGGAGAGGACAAGAACACAGCAAAGCACCTGTGTAGATGTGGCTAATCCAGGTTTATTGGAAGGAAAATGGGGTTAGTTTACAGAATCTTGGAAACTGGATATGTATACTATACCCCTCATTTATCAATGAGTCCATTAAGGTGTGGGGTCTTGGATGGCTTTGATTCTTTTTCTGTCACAAACTCAAGGGGAGTTTGCTCCCTGTTTAGCAGATACAAAAGAGATGTGTATTTGTCGTTGCAATGCAATATTTTGGAAATATCCATTCCTATTCCAGGATCAGAGAACTGTGTTACAGCAGCATGAATGAAGACTGAATAGTAAAGAAACTGAAGCCAGAGCTGGCTCAAGGTTTTGGGACAGTTACTCATCCCCCCTCCATTTATTCACACACATACACACACACAGACACACACACACAACCTGTGGCTGCTGCTCATGGTTTTGATCCTGACACAGAAAAGGGCAAAGTTTCAAAGCACCCTGATAACACTGATGTTTCATGAGAATATGAAATGGGTGGATACCACAATCTAGACCAATACTCTGCATGAACACCATACAGAAATATAATTACCAATTTTGCACTTGTTACACTGGTTTTATTACCTGCCAGTATGGTGTAGGTGTGCTTTTTTAGTGCCAACAGTTGATGCGAATCTGTGCTCCTGTAAAAGAGGCAACTGCTTTCTGCTACTATTGAGATGATTGTGTTGGCACTGCAATCAAATTACAGCACTTAATGTCTGAACTAAAATAAGTGGGGGGTGGGTGTGCGTGCACTGGTGCCTCATATACAGTCTGAACAGGAAGTTACTTGAGTGATCTCTTCGGACCAAGTACCCATTAACAAACACGCCGCTCCCCAGAGATAAGCCGGGATTAACACCAGACAAACAATCAAGCAGAAAACAATACCCTAATCAAGGAACTACCAAGGAGAAAATCACACCCCCACCAACATTGGCAGGGCAAGCTACTGTATGCAAACAGGGAGCAAACCCCACACTCACTAGCACTGATGGCGTTACCGAGTCGGGTAATGAAAGATCTACAATTAAACCACCAGGCTCAGAAAGCACCAAGGACTCCGCTCCTCCGCTCCCTGTCCTCGGGGAACGACAAGGTCCCAGCCATGCAGCTCCGGGCCGAGCACTAAACGCTGCGACGCGGCAGCCGCGCTCTCGCGGAACGAACGAGAGGCAGGAAGAGGAACGAGAACAAAGCGAAGGCGGCCTGCCAGAAAAGCCGCCGCGGGCGCTCGGGCGGGAAGCCAGGAGGAGCTGCAGGCCTTTAACACGGGAAAGCTGGAGGACAGCCAGAGGGAGGAGAAGAAGCAAGAGCTGCTCACGGCTGCCTTTGAGATCGCAGATCTGGATCCTTTGTTCCAAAGCAAAGATGGAGCATGTCGGCCCCCAAGGACTAGGTTGTTTGTCTTTCCCACTTTCTCCCGCATTTCGCTGTACAGACGCGCCCACCAGCTACAGCTGGTGCTTGAAACTATGGCTCCCTTCATCCCAACCTTTTCTAAAGCTGTCTTCGCGGCTGTCTTCGCACAAGACACCGAACCAAGTCAGGAAAGGCCTCGCAGCTGCCTTGGCCCGACGAGCAATTCATTCATTTCAGCTTCGGTAGGGGGGGTTGTGTGGCGTGGCACGTGGGCAAACGCAACCCAACCAGACCAGATAGGGTAGGATTCAGAGATTTGTGCAATCCCAAAAACGGGCTAGTTCAGTCAACGGGTTAAGCGTGGTGTGAACTCAGCCACTGCGGGCCCCTGCTGCCTCCCTGAAAGAAAAACAGTCTGTACGTGCTCAGAAGCCTTGGGATGGGCTCCGTCTTCCCACACCCTTTGCCTGGGACGCTGTTTTAGCCGAAAAGCAGCCAGCTCCCGCGTGTCTGCGGGCATCCGTCCGTCGCCGCAGGCCTTCCAGTCTTAGGGGCAGAGCCGGAGCGAGGGGGAGCCCCTCATCTCTACCAAGGTCAGGCCGAAGATCAGCCTTCCCGCCCCGAAGCGCCCCGTCCCTTTTGTTCACCTGGAGAGGGGCCTGCAGCCCCCTTTCTGCGCCTACCTGAGGGATTCGTGTCGTTTTTCGGCCGCTTGGAGCTCGCCATGGCTGGGCTTCACGCCCCAAGGTGGCTGCAGAGAGTCTCCCCCGCCCTCCCCGGGGCTGTTGCTATCACAGTCGCCGGTCTCCTCCTCCTCCTCCTCCTCCTCCTCTCCTCCTCCGGCTGCCTGGAAGGAAGCCAGACACCCTCCGCCGCCCGCCCTCTTCTCCTCCTCCCCTCTCTCCGCTAGCTCTTAGCAAGACTAGGCGGGCCGGGCCGGGCTCGGACGGCGCGCTCGGCTCTCTGCAGAGGCGGGAGACCCGTCAGGGCTTGTCTCGGTCCTCCGCGGGCAGGCTCAGCGCTCCGCTCCGGCTTCGCAGACATGAGAGAAGCGGGGTGGGGGCCGGAGGCTTGCGGATGACCAGCAAACCCGCGTTGCCATTTCGTACAATAAGCAAAGGAAGCTGGAGTAGCCTGAAGGGGAAGAGAATCCACCTGAGGACACCAACTCAAGGTCACCAAAGAGCGAGCGAGTGAGCGAGCGCTTTCCATAATTCCTCGCTGCTCTTTTCTAAAGCAGCTGATAAACTGAAGCAGCGTTCCGGATTTGCGCGCCGTTCTGTGAGCTTGACCTGGCTTATTAGGCATACTGATCTAACACGGATTTTGGAAGTCCTTTTTCTTGATATCCACGGCGGTGAACCATCCTTTCGTCAGCCAACCTTTCTGAGATGAAATGGAAGAGGGAAAGTCTTCCTTTCTTCAAGCTAGGAATTCTGCCGGTGTTTGGTAACGTTGAGCGGGCAGCTGCCTTTAAAATATCTCTCCCAGTGGATTCCTGTGCTGGGGGCTGGACTTGGTGGTCTATAACAGCGTTTGTCAACCTTGGCCGCTTGAAGATGTGTGGACTTCAACTCCCAGAATTCCCCAGCCAGCCATGCTGGCTGGGGAATTCTGGGAGTTGAAGTCCACACATCTTCAAGCGGCCAAGGTTGACAAACGCTGATCTATAAGTCCTTTCCAGTGCTTACATTCTGTGAGCTATGAATACCGTTCAATCTGTTCACTCAACTTCGGTTATTGTCCACCCCTTAGTGTAATTGTAATAATTGTAATTGTAAGCTGGCTGGGTGACTTTGGGCCAGTCACTCTCTCTCAGTCTAACCCATGTCCCAGGGTGGTTGTTATGGAGAAAATAGGAGGCAGAAGTATTAAGTATATTCACTGCCCTGAGTTGACCAATTTTTTTTTTTTTAAGTCAGATAAAAATCTAATAATAATGAAAAATTCTACTGGGTGGTACATAGTGGCCAGGAGTAGAGCCTTCTCAGAGGCAACCGCAATAGTGGAATTCTCTCCCCCTGGAAGTAGATTCCCCTACTGGTGCCCTCCCCATTTAGCCCATCATAATGACATGCCTGTTCAATCAAGTATTTGTAGAATAGCACTCTATTTTAGCCTTTAGACTGACTTTTATTACTTTTTTTTTTAAAGCCCTATTTTATTTACATATATTAGTTTTAAGATCTATTGGATTTATTATGATGGGTTTTTAAAATTATAAACAGTTTGGGGCTATTTTGGAAGAAGGGGCAGTATAGAAAGAAAAAAGAATAACATTAGCATCAATTTATTTCAGGGTTTGTTTTGCTATAATATACTCAAACTTGACATCTGTTCTCCAAGTGGCCCGGTAAAAAAGTTGGCGTACAAAGGAAGAAGTGTGCAAATCACATGTATTCAATAAATGTACAATATTCAGAGTTCATATAATGTTCCAAGTTCTGAAACTAACTGACAATGCTGTTACTTGGTAACTCCAGAGTGCTGCAGTTCTCCAATTCTCCGTAGCTGTGCATCAAATACAAATATAGATGTGTTCAAATGCAGCTGCCAGGAATCTGGGAGAAGACTTTACTTTCCATATTGTTCATGGAAATCTGTTTTTTAGCAGTGAACTGGAGATCCTAGAAAAGGTCTCAGATGATGAACATATGAGTTGTTTTACTGGACAGATGAAAGATTTATCTACAATTCTTCAGCTAGTGGTCACAAAGAACCCAAGAAGCAAATCAATACATTGAACAGGTTTGTATTGTCCTCAACCTTTTATAATGAGGTAGAGATATTTCGAACTTTCATATGAAGATCTGCCAAAATTAACTAGATGGTGTGGGGTTTCAGTTGTATGCTTCCATCAGCAAAAATGCTTTCTGTTGACAGAATAGACAAGGCAATGCCATCTCTTCCCAGCAATCCCCCACACATTCTTGTATCTGCTACAGATCTTCCATCCCTTGGAGGGAATGTGATCAAGTGGAGAATGAGAAGAAGACAGGGAAGTCCAATTGTGGGAATGGATTTCTGTTCACACAACATGGGATTCTGCCCAATATGAGCCATAGTGAAAAGGTCAACCTGTAGAATGCTCAAGCACTTGCATGAAACAGTGGGGGAGGCTGTATTTGAAGGTGGAGAGGCAAGTTTTGCCATTACAAAACCCATCAGGATTCCTAATGTCTCTGAACATGGAGGTCCCCCATAACTAGAATGGCTGCTTATAGATAAGACATTGATTGGGTATTCACTTTGCCTTAAGTCCTACATTCTGTGCTGAGGTAGGGCCCATATGGGGTTATTTTTTAAAAGATTTTTATCCATTTTCTCCTCTAAAACAAAATTAATCATAGAAAAAAATTAAGGAAGGATAGATGCATATCTTTTGACTGATAATGTCAAGAGTCATCCATTTGGAAATATCCATTGTAAATAGCTAAGCCTTGGCAGAAGTCTTTTTAATTTTGGATTATATAATAGTATCTATATATTTAATTAAGGCCATAGGGTTTGCTACTATTTGTGTAGTATCAATTTACTTTTTTTTTTTTTTTGGTGCCTTCAAGTCAGCATTGACCCCTGGCAACTGCCTGGACAAATCCCTGCAATTTTCTTGGCAAGATTTCAGAAATGATTTGCCATTGCCTGTTTCCTAAGGCTGAGAGAGAGTGACTGGCTCAGGGTTACCCAGCTGGTTTTCTCCCATGGTCTCCCAGTTTCTAGCCTAGTACCTTAACCACTACACCAGCCTGGCTCTCATCAATCTGCATATTTGCAGTTAACTTTGTATCATACTCATTAGATAACAAATTGCATCAAGGAAGACTGTGTGGCATGCAGGCGTAACTGACTCATTCCATCCCTACATTTCCTGAGATTCACTAAGAAGTGGGATTATGAAGCTATTTGCACAATACGATAACCCAGTTAACCAAATTAACCTAACTGCCTACGCTTGCACAATACACCAAACCATAAATTAATCTAACAGGCTTCACTAACTCAACATACTGAACCATTAACAAGACAACCATGTATTAACTCATCATGTTTAGCAAATCCTGCCTAAGGTTGACAAATCATGGTTTGCAAATTTAAATTATACACATTTAAACTGTTTTCCAGCTCATGGAAATAGTCCTGTCTCAAGTGCTTGCCTGTGACTTTTAGAGTACACCCATTTCCATTATTTTACCTTGTCCCATGTCCTGTGCATCTAAGATTTTATAACTTCTGTGTTGCACAGCCAATTAACCACACCAAACCTATTTAAATGCTTTAGTTTTCAATAGGTTTTGTAAGTTACAATATTAGACTACTACCCAAGTTACGTCCTTGGGTTAAAGTTTAATCTGCCTGTAAAACCACAAAATTAGGCAATATGGTTGCTGCTTAGATAGCTACCCTGTAGACTGAATATTTAAAAACTGTGATTGTTTGATAATCTTGTTGAATTCTGTGAATGCAGTGCAGAGAGTATCTGCCCCAATGGTTATTTTTCTGCTCACAACACATGAAGAATGTCATGTTGAGTAACTGGAGGTATGAGTTCATTATCTAAACTGTAACTGCTTCCATAAAATATATCTTGTTCTACCTTATGCCCATTTTATATTAGTCTCATAGTCCATTCCTATATATTGCATGATGAAGTCTTTATGATAAGAGCAATGCAATTTATTAATACATACTTGACATTCTGAAAAGCATTTTCATTATTGTGGACAATATTTTATGTGCTTATTTGTTTCTATCTTATCATTCTGTCAAAATATATTATTAGTAAGACCATGGGTATACAGAAAACTTTCCAATTTAAGGGCTACTGGGGAAAAACAAACAAACAAACAAAATAACTCCACAACTAAAACATAGGGTGGGGGTGTTTCTGACATAGTTTAGACATTCCAAAAGTTATGGTCAGATAATTCCTATGCAGAAAATTGTGGGAAAGCTTTAGTAGTTTCTAGAACTCTGTATCAGGTAAGATAATATTTCCATTTAATAACATTGCTGAATTTGATGAATTCCATGGCGACAAGAATAAATTCCACTTGTATAAATTGCCTTTTTTCTCTTAAAGTCTAAAAGTTAACATCTTCATGGGATTTGAGATCTTTTATCTCTAAGTCATAGCTGTGTCAGCTCTGTAAAATCAAATAAAAACTATAGGGCCAAGGAAACAATCAACCCATATAACTTAATGCATATGTTCTTAATTTTTGTAGAACTTATTCTCCATCTACAGATGATACAAAGAAATAAGGAAGCCACTCTAAATATGGAAGTATAACCACTTACCTACTATTAAAAATTACCAGCCAGTGCCTAAAATTAAAGTTAGTATGATGCTTACACTTACAAGCCAATTTTCACAGCCTAGAAATTTCCTCGTTTCTACTAAATAATGCTCATAATGTCATTTCTGAGAGCCAGTTTGGTATAGTGGTTAAGGCACTAGGATAGAAACCAGGAGACTGTGAGCTCTAGTCCCACCTTAAGCACGAATTCAACTAGGTGACCTTGGGCTAGTCACTTCCTCTCAGCCCTAGGAAGCAGGCAATGGCAAGCCACTTCTGAACTCTTGCCAAGAAAACTGCAGTCCAGGCAGTCACCAGGAGTCAAAACTGACTTGAAGTGTGTGCACACACACACACACACACGCAAGTCATTTCTAAAGTTGCACAAGTATTAGTCCTTTGTTTCTGTAATTTAGAACAAAGTTCTGACACGTTACAAACATTAGGGAAGATCCCTGTTGCTATATGGTTAATTTTTTCATGTAAAAACAATCTCTTGCCATGCTTTATTTATTTAACATTTGAGAAGATCCAATTATCTGAACTATACACCCTGTATTTTCCCAGTTGTTTAGATGTGTATGTAGGTCAATATGCCCAGAGAAGCCACATAAATAACAAAAAATAAGGCAGCACAGGATTTGAACATAGAATTGCAAGTTCACTCTCCTTCTAGATTATCTCAGTTGAAGACCTTTCCTCTTTAAGTTGCTGT